TCTTTGCACGGCAGTGGTTTACACAGCACCCACGCCCGAAAGTCAGAAACTCTTCTCCGTTAAGTTGCCAAGTTGGATGAGTCAGGGGAGACCTGCAGAAAGGCAGCTGTAAGAGAGCAGTGAAATACTTTGATTCACTTTTACGTTGTTTTTAATCGATTTAAAAGTGTCTGGAGAGCCATCTGCAAGCACAGAGCCCATGAGGCTGATCCTGTCTGGGCGCATCGCTGGCCTCCCACTGCAGCAGCGCTTCGTTTGAGTCACCACCGCCAGTGGCTGTGACATACTTGTTTCTCTCCGCTCTCCTTGTGGTGGCACGCGCCCTGCAGCACACAAAAGACACAGAACGATGTACACAAGAGGAGTCGTGTCCACACCGTGTAGACTTCCTTCTCCTTTTCGAGGTTTCTCTCACAAGCAGATGGCAGTGCTCCCCAAGCACGCAGGCGCGCTTGCAGCTCCCCGGATCATCTGCTGGTGGACCTACCGCGTGTTCATATCTCTGTGAGCAGCGTTGGCCAGCAGCTTCGCCAAGGGCCTCGACAGGAGGCACTTTACATCACCCTCGCTGGCTCATCTGCGTCGGGCGGTGCGTGGGCGCTGAGAGGGACCGGGTGCTGTCTGTGTTCGGAGGGGTGCACTGCTCTACCCCAAAGTGATCCCCATGCCGGCTGGGTGCAGAGTAGTGGTTGTGCTCCGAGGCGTGTGTTGCTCTTACTCTGAGGAGGTCGGGTCTCCCATATGCCACTTGCAGTGGGGGTTAGCAGGGTTGTGAGATCAAGTCCCACTCCTAAGGGCAGGCCAAACACCTTGCTGGAGCGCAGGACTGTTTTCCCAGGCCCTGGACAACTTTTTGCGTCCTCATATGGTGGGATTGCTTTCTCTGCAAAGTGCTCTGAGGTCACCTCATGTTACCCCATCCCTTTCTGATCATCTTGAAACCTTCCTTCGTTCCAGCCTACAGGCAAGATCTTAACCTCCTGGGCTGATCAGGTGTAATGTGCTGAACTTCGCTGTTCAGGGCAGTAATTAGAGATGGCAAAGGGTGTTGGCAATTGCAGTCATCTCCTGCATTTTTTAGTGGACTGGAGGCTGGAGTGAGAGTAGCCTCTGTAAATGCAGTGCGTTTGAGATGAATCCAGCGTTCATAGGTGTTTTAGGCATCAGTTTCATGGGATAGCTTATTTTACACAAAGAAGAGTACCTGTAGACTTTGTAAGGTTAGAAAAGCCTTGCTTTGTTTCCCCTCATGCTACAGTCTGCTGGGGCAAGGACACCATTATCTTAAATAACAACTGCGAACAGCACAAATATAAACCAAATTGTTATAAACTAAATACTAAGTCAGCAGCTTCAGAAGCATGACAGCGCAAGGGAGCCAAACACTTGACTTGTACGCAGTTCCCAGCAAATACATTTCATAACTGCTTGCTGCTGTGTGGCCACAATCGACACATATGTGAGGGCTGGAGTATCCTAAGACCCAGGATATCATATATCGTCTCTTGACCAAGTGAGCATCTTTAGTAAAAACTAGTGGTAAGCGTGTAGAATTAAATGAAAAATCTCACCACGGGCTTTTCCCTCCTAATAGAAGGAAAAGGTGTTTTTTTGCATTATGACGTCTGAGTTACTCTACGGCCACTGGATGGTCATTTGTTGTTGGACCTCCTTTGGTATGTTTGTTATGCTATAACACACAGCGGTATGTGTGCGTTATACGTCGGTTAAAAATTCTTCATACCCCTGGTAAGAGGTGTTTAATGTTAAGTTGCTGCATTTAGCTGCAACATTATCAAATAACATGGAAAGTATCTAGAATAAGCAGTGATATTGTAGAGCTCTTAAGGCAAAAACAGTGTTAAATTATACTTCCAGCTGAATGCATTTCCTTCCCTACAATATTTATTAGGCACATTCAGCGTTACAAACCAGAACTCTCGTGTTGCTGTCCAGGCTTTCCTGCTCAGCACACCTACGGTGTGGTGTATGCGCTTTATTCTAAGATGCCTGGAAGGTAACCTGCCCAGACACTAGAGGAGACCTGCCCGTGCACCGTAGACCCAATGCATTGCAGAGGTATCTGCCACACCGAGCAGGTGCCACGCTGCGTCATTTGATCTGTGTGTATCCAATACAGCCAGTGCATCCAGCCGGTGTCAGACTGAGTGTGCTGGTGTCCTTGGGCCAGCACATATATAGTAAAGTTTGTTTGCATGGGCACGCCCAGGTTATCTAGGCGTTTAGAAATCTTGAGCATTCAAAGTAGCCTTTTTTTTTTCATGAGCAAAATGCTAAAAAAAGAAAGAACAGGACACATCTGGGTAAATCCAGATGCCTGTAGCCCTAGAAGCTGATTTCTCTGCAGTCTCGGGTATAAATACTGAACGTACTCCTGTGAAGGGTATTCTGGGACTTGAGGAGGAAAGGAATGAAATGCAAGAGAGTATGGTTTTATTCTCATTTGAAGAGTTATCCTTTGTTTAAAGTTTTATGTCTTTGCTGCTTTTCAATTTAGGGACCTCAAAAATTTCCCAGTGGAGGTGTGGATCCTTTTAGATGTTTTGCAGGTGTGGGTTGCTAGATAACATACCTGAACGTGCTTTTGTTGGTCACCTGTCATAGGCCTCTTCAATAGATTTTGGAAGTCCCCATGTTCGGGATCTGCAGATGACAAACTGGAAAACCCTTCTTGAAAGGCTGAAGAATTCAGCTGTGTAGTGGCTATTGATGAATTGGTGGGTGAGGCATTACTTGTGCACTAGAGGAGGATCCTCAGATTGATAGGCTGTAACTTCTTTGGAAATGAGATTGTTCCTGAGTAGGACTGCATAAAGTAGGTTTAAAATATTTAAAGGTACAGAGGCTGAGGGAAGCCATTGGGGTCATCGAGTCCCATCCCCCAGAACTGCAGATGATCGGGGTGGACATCTAGTGCTAATATCCAGTCTTCATCCCACACACACAGTCAAGCAACTGCAGCTTAAAACTCGTAGT